TGAGGTTGTGATTAGGACCAAGTCCTCACTGCATGTGAGGTCAGAGTGACATGTGACAGGAATCCAGGCTCAGGGGGACGTCTTGTCTTCCCTGCAGGGGCGAGAGTGTGGTGTGAGTGGATTGGAGGGGGGGAGTGAGTTGTGTTTTAAGCCGTTTTTTTAACGAGGTCAAAACGAGGTCACCACCACCCTGATTCTCAAACACACCATGCTCGAGGGATCAATCAAGCAAGCCTACAAAAACAACTTCTTACTAAACAACAGGCGATGCCATGCAAAGTCATGGCGCCTCTCTGGGGCGCCCTTTCGTTGACCGAAAGGTCAAAGCCACCATAGACACCACCACCCTGAATCTAACACGCAACATGCAGGATTCTGGCCAAAACAGGGTTGGTTCAATTTGAATCAGGGTTTACTGTGACTGTGCAAACACTGATTCGTTCGTGACTTAAAGCCACAGAAAACCCTGATTCGTTTTACAGTCATTACACCCTATCCCTTTCTTGCAAAAAGCTAGACCCACAAGGAAACGTGACTAACAGTCACATTACCCATCTTTGCTCCTCCTTACAGTCACACTCGGCCCCTCACAACTCACGTTTGTAGCACTTGAGGATTCGAACCGCGAGCTCCACTGCAGGAGAAGGTTGCGACTCGTCAGAAGCCCCCTCTCTCCTCTCACTCGCCTCGTCTGCCCTCTCCCCCTCCTTCTCTGCTCTGACATCCCCTCCTTCTGAATCTCCTGTCGCTGCTGCTACAATAAGAGTCCTGCTGTTTGAGACTGCAGCGGAAGAAGTAGCAGAAGAAGCAGCACCACCGGGGAAGCACCACGGACAGTCACATCTCGCTGCAAGCACATTCGCGTCCGCGTTACCGCCGCGGCCTTGACTTTCAACTGCTACGACGCGTCGCTTCCTCGCAGCAACGGTCACATTTCTCCGAGCCTGTGACCCTGATCTGACGTCAGCGATGATGTCACTCTTCGGGCCCCACCCGTTCAGCAGGTGGTGAGCGCTGATTGGTTGGCCGAATTCGCTAGAAATTTGATGAGGATTTCCCTGTAGACTACCCGCACACACTATCCTCGCTGGAAAGGTGCTGCATTTTAAGCTACAGTGACCTTGCGCACCACTAAAGTGAGTACATGCGGTGTACTCGATCAGCAGAATGTGCGGTCGGATCTTCCCAGTGGCATACGCAAGACAAACGGTCATATTGCTTCGTACAGACGGTTATACGCGTTCTCTCGCGTCCTAAGCTTCGCGTCGGGGATAATTGTTTAGTTGCCTAAAAAATCGTCTCATGCGCAGGACAAACACTCGCATGGCCGAGTAACAACGGTCATGTTTCTGGGCGAGGCACGACGCGGAGAGCAATATTATCAGCGGTTGAAATCGGCGTCAGACGGTGTGAGAAGGTTGGCTGGTTTGCGGCCAAGTTCCAGCTAAGGTTTACTGGTTTGCGGCTACCGAGGTTTCGTGTATGACGACGTTGGAACAACTTCTTCGATATTGTAATTTCTGCGCACTCTTCCTTTACAAGTCGCAACAGGATGAAATCACAGCCTTTATTATTCAGAACCGGTTTGCTTGCACACCACACGGAAATATGAAATCACAATAGTCACATCACAATATGGGTTGTCATTGCTTTCATTTGTTTGGAGCTGTTGCTCCATTGTCCCATCTGAAGCCATTTCTTTGATTGCTGGTACTGTACAAATATGATCTAAAGCAGTTGCTTGCTACCTTACATTGCCACTACAAAATCATTCTAGCAAATGTCGCATTGCTGTCATGTCACTCCCCCACTTCATACATCACCTTTTCCTTTCTCCCTCCTCCAGTGCTACCACCATCCCCTCCCCTGCCACCATCAGCATCTAAATCTCCATCACCATCACCATCAGAATAACCATCACCATCAGAATCAAAATTTCTAGAATCCTTACATCCTCTCCCCTCTGCACCACCATCAGCTCTCCCAACCCTACCTCTTCCATCCTCTCCGGAATTAACGTCACCTGCTTTCCTATGTACCTGCAGCATCAATCTGCAATCCGCTAGCGCTTTCCCTTGCATCCCCCCACATTTGGAGCTTTCTCCGTCATCCATGGAAATTGCGAAATAGAGGTAAATCGTACACAGGACGGCTAGAATCGCCATTGTTGTCAGCAGGTACTGATGCCGAGCCACCAAGGCTCGGAAAGACAGGTCCACTTGTGCCGAACCTGGCGGCTGCGGCCTCGGGCGATATTGGCTCTGAAGCCGGCTTCCGGACCTAACCGCCAGGCTCCCTTGCTGCGGAGATCGTAAGAGACGCTCGGAAGGAAGGAGGTTCGGGGAGGTTGGAAGGAAGGAGGGAGAGAGGGAGGATCCAGGAGGGATAGACGTCGGAAGCTTCGGATCTAACGGGGGGCTGGTGACACCGTGTCGCCTATAGACGTCCTTAGAAGCTGTGGAATATGATGACGTGGCAGTCGGGGAGGTCGGATCGTTGGGATCCGGGTTGTTGGCCGATCGGTTCGCCATGGTTGCGAAAAACGGACTTCCCTCGATAGTACTTCCGTTGACAGAATATGAAATATAAATCAAATCTGGATACTTAAATCCAGGACTCAGTTATACGCACGTGAAGAGTAAGGTTCTGCTAGAACGCCCATGCGGCAAGAGCGTGAAATATTGATGGCGGATGAAACGAGAGTGGGCTAGTGGTAGGGAGGGATGAGAGAATTTCAAGCCCAAGCCACACTGACACTCTCGAGAATAGACCCCTTCTAACCTCTCAGTACCTGAGTCAACACTTGAAAACCGCTTCAGCTTGGTAACGGCTCTGTCTTGGTAGGTACAGTCAATGCCCATTCGGCCTACGCCGCCTTTTGGGGCGGCCGTAGACTGAAACGAACGAGGTTTTTCGCCAGCTTGCGCCAAGTTCGCCACGGGTAAAATTGGGACTTTAATGAACCTCGAAGTTACAATTCCGAAATATCTGGAAATTTGGGCATGACATCCCCAGGTGTGTCGGGTACTTGCGCAACTGCAAATGTATTTTCCTGCATGTTCGGAACATTGTTACTGTATACGAGAGGCCGTTGCCCGTGTTCGAATGCTCCAGGGACGGGCTGCGACCAAGAAATAGGAAATGCACAGAATAAGGTTGAGCATCGACTGTACTGTAGAGTGACTTTACCCATAAAATTGAGCACTTTGGGAATCAAGGGAAGAATTATAAGCGAATAGTCATGTATTATTTTGGACATCGAGAATGCCGAGAGCAGATGACATGACGATTCTCGGAGCGATTCGTCTATTATGGCGTATGATACGCTGGACCATCGCCACCACCACTAGCATCACTGATTCACTGCCAACTTTCCTTTCAGATAACGACAGAGACTCAAAATTGGGCACAGAACCTAACTGACACACAGAGTCACTGAGTGACAGAAGACAGACTTGAGAACGATCTTCAGAGCCAAAACGACACACAGAGCCAATGGTAGTTAGCACTGGCAGTAACTGTTGATGGGACCGTCGCTGAATGCCGTTTATTTCGTCGTCCATAGTCGTAAAATAAGACCAACCGCGCCGCGCCGCATTGACTGCGCAATGCATAGTGCGTACCACTTCGGATAATAATGTTATCTATGTAGTCTATTGCTGCTAGTAACAGCAGGTCTGCCATTTAGTCCTGTCCTGAATAAAGCCTTCTCTGTAGTGCATTGATATCTGTTCCACGTCACGTTAACTCCTCGGGCGAAGCCTTTCTATTCGAAGCTTTGCCTAGCCACACCATGCCGAGCCTAGCCAGGCATGGCATCCCCGCCGCAAGATTCCCCTCGAGCAGGGTTCCCGAGCCTCGCCTTTCCTCTTGCCTCACCGCGCCTACACTCACCACTCCGAGCCTCATCATTCCGAGCCTCGCCGCTAGGAGCCTCTCCGAGCCTAAGATCGCCGGGCCAAGCCCCTCTCAGCAGGCGACACAGCGGACGGCTAGGATTGCCCGAGATGGAAATCGAGACGTTGGAAGGGAAGCTGCAGATGCTCGAGATTCAGCGACAGCTGAGCGCCGTCCGATGTCAGGCGTTCATGCAAGCCCTAGATTCCGCAATCCTTCAAGATGCTGCTGCTGACGTGGCTGTTGCTGATGCTGACGTGGCTGCTGCTGCTGATGTGGCCGATGATGCTGCTGCCGTGGGATTCGCAAGAGCAGATGAGCACTCATGCCAGGCGAGCGTGCCGGCCGGAGAGAAGGCTTATGAAGGGGAGGAGCCTGCATTTGCGGCAGAGAATGTAAATTTTGGAAAGAGGGCCGTGTCGCGGCCGTTGGCGCGTGGAATATCGCTGGATGCAAGTTATAGGTGGCGAACAGGGTTGGGTGTGGGGACGGACATGGGCGGAACGGGGATGGGGATGGGGATGGGGATGGGATTAGGTCTGAAAGTTCCAAGGGACGATTTTGAGAAGAGTGGTGCGAGTGAATGGGCTTTAGAGGGAACTTCTAGAGGAGATGTTCTTATAACGAGAGATGCTGGTTTGGCAGGGGTTGCTGCTTCTAGTGAAGCCGCCGTTTCAGTAGCACAGGACGGCAGGCGAAGAGGGAGGAGAGGAGGAGGAGGAAGAGGAGGGGCAGGAGGAGAAGGAGGAACAGACTTCTCGACTTCCACGTCATCCTCAACGTTCCTGACGTCACCACCCTCTCTGTCCTCGTCATCGGCCACGTCAGCCGCAGGAGAGTCATTCGCCATGTCAGCAACGCTACCAATGACGGCAGCAGCAGCAGCAGGAAGCGCCAGAGCCAAACCTATCCGCCGATTAAGAGTCAGAAAAGCGTCTCTAGACTTTAAAGGGGACTGGAGCGCAGGAGGTATGGGAGGATGGGGGGAGGAAGAGGGGGGGAAAGGAGGGCGTGGAGGAGGAGGAGGAGGAGGGAGAGAGGGAGGTGGGGGTGGGGGGTTCGCTATAAGAGGATTCGGTATGGGTGGGTTTTCAGGGAGGTCTATGCTCCCCCCTCGTTCCCCTGGGCCGAGAGGGGAATCCCCGTTACTGAGTGCTGCGTTATTTGCTGGCCCAGTCTCGAGTGTCCCGTTATTGAGTGCCCCACCACAGAGAGGAGGTGCCGTACCTGCTGCTGCCATACCTGCTGGAAGGGGGCAGGAAGGGGGCCTAGTAGCCAGAACGCTGGACCTATCGGAGGCGAGAGAATCTAGCCAATCAGAGGGGAGAGGGAGCAGCCAATCGGAGGGAAGAGGGAGCAGCCAATCAGAAACGAGCGGGGCCAGTGAAAGGGAGGGAGCATGTGGGGGCGGCTTATCTGCTGGACGAGAAAGAAACCGTTCTTCACAGAGCTACCAGCAGCCACTGTCCCAGCGCTCGCCACGTCAGCACTCTCCTTATCTGCATTCGCCACGTCAGCATCAAGAGAAAGCACCGTCAGGCCTATCAGGATTGGGTATGGAGGACCCTGAGAGTCAAAGCAAGCAGTTGTGGCAAGAGGAAGGGGGGGGGTTCTCCTCAGGGACATCAGACCACACATCTGGCCGCCTATTGGACCGTCTATCGGACCGTCTATCAGACCGCCTATCAGACCGCCTATCGGACCGTCTATCGGACCGCCTATCAGACCGCCTATCGGACCGTCTATCAGACCGCCTATCAGACCGCCTATCGGACCGCCTATCAGACCGCTTATCAAACCTTCCACTATCAGGCTCGTCTAGATCGGAGTATGAGGAGCAGGAGAAGCAGGGGGAGTGGGAGGAACGGAAGGCACGGGAGGAACGGGAGCGGCGGGAGGAGCAGGAGGAGAGGGATGAGCGCGAGAAGCAGGTGGAAAGGTTTCGACACATGCTGATTGCTCTGGGTATAGGGAGGAGAGACGGGGGGTTGGGTGGTCAGGCGCAGGGGCAGGGGCAGGGGCAGGGGCAGGGGCAGGGGCAGGGGCAGGGGCAGGGGCAGGGGCAGGGGCAGGGGCAGGGGCAGGGGCAGGGGCAGGGGCAGGGGCAGGGGCAGGGGCAGGGGCAGAAGCAGGAGGAAGGGCAGGAGAAGAGGCAGGGACAGGGGGAGGTGAGTGGGCGTGGGAAAGAGCAGGAGAAAGGGCAGGGACAACTTATAGCCTGGGCGGATGCGATGGGGAATCGTGCTGCTGCTGCTGCTGCTGCTGCCGCTTCAGCTGCTGCTGCTTCGGCTGCTGCTGCTTCTAGGGGCATACCACCACCCACCGCGCGGCCCCAACAGCAGCAGCAGCAGCAGCAGCAGCACCAGCAGCAGTGGCCGCAGTGGCCGCAGCAGCAGCAGTGGCGGGATTTCGAGTCCCCGCCGCCATCCGACTACGACACTTCCTCCTCTGATGCCTCCCTCTTCCTGCAATCACGCTCCCACGCACGCTCCCTCGCCCGCGCCCAAGCCCGCACGAAAGCGTGCGCACCTGCTGCTGCCACCCATGCACCTGCCACCCATGCACCTGCTACCCGTGCACCTGCTACCCGTGCACCTGCTACCCGTGCACCTGCTACCCGTGCACCTGCTACCCGTGCACCTGCCACGAGTGCCAATGCTGCTGTTTCTATGGATGCTGTTACGAGCACACCTGCCAGTGCTGCTGCTGCTGCTTCATCCATGATACAACCACGCTCTGAGACGTCTCAGAAGAACTCGTCTGTAGCAGATGCTGCTGCTATGGGAACACCTGCTGCTCCTGCTGCTGCTGCTCCTGCTCCTGCTGCTGCTCCTGCTGCTGCTGCTGCTGCTGCTGCTGCTGCTGCTGCTTCATCCGTGCTACAACCACGGTCTGAGACGTCTCAGAAGAACCCGCCTGTAGCAGCTGCAGTTTCAGCCGTGCTAAAACCGGGTTCCCAAGCGTCCCACGTCTCGTCTACCACAGCTGCTGCTACAGCCATGCTACAGCCGCTTTACCAGGCGTCCCAAACCTCGTCTGCAGCAGCTGCTGCTACAGCCATGCTACAGCCACTTTACCAACCGTTCCAAACCTCGTCTGTAGCGGCTGCTGCTACAGCCGCCACACTGCAACCGCTTTACCAGCCGTTTCAAAACTCGACTGCAGCAGTTGCTGCTACAGCCGAGCTACAACCTCCATCTCGCCTTGCCAGTGGGCGGCAGTTATCTCTAGACTTGGGCAGGAACAGCAAGTGGGGTGCGGAGGAGTGGAAAGGGGTGCTGGAGGTTTGTTCAGGGGTGGGGGTTGAGAGAGGGTTGGTCGGAAATGGAAATGCGAGCATTTCTCTGGGCGTGGGTTTGCTTGGGCTCGATTGTTTGGGGCTGGTTGGGAGTGGGGAGAAGGGTGGAGGGGAGGGTGGGGAGAAGGATGGGGGGGAGTGTGAGGGGCGGGGCAGAGGTGAGGGTGTAGAGAAGGGGGCGTCTACTGCTGCTGGTGGTGGTGATGGTGCTGCTGCTGTTGCTGGTGCCTCTGGTGCTGCTGCTGCTGCTGCTGCTGCTGCTGCTGCTGCTGCCTCTTCTGCTGCTGGTGCTGTCTCTGCTACTTCTGCTTCTGCCTCTGTTGCTGGTGGAAACGCAGGGGCGTATTTCGAGTCCCCGCCTTCATCAGACTACGAATCGTCCTCCTCCGATGCCGGTGCTGCCTCTGCTGCTGCATCTGCGGCTTCCTCTTTTGCTGCCTCTGCCTCTGCTGCCACTCCTGCTGCTGCTGCCTCTGCTGCCACTGCTGCTGCTGCTGCTGCCTCTGCTGCCACTCCTGCTGCTGCTGCCTCTGCTGCCACTGCTGCTGCTGCTGCTGCTGCTGTCTCTGCTGCTGGTGGAAGAAGCACAGGGGCGTATTTCGAGTCCCCACCTTCATCAGACTATGAATCTTCCTCCTCTGATGCCGGTGCTGCCTCTGCTGCTGCATCTGCGGCTGCCTCTTTTGCTGCCTCTGCCTCTGCTGCCACTCCTGCTGGTGCTGCCTCTGCTGCCACTGCTGCTGCTGCTGCTGCCTCTGCTGCCACTGCTGCTGCTGCTGCTGCTGCCTCTGCTGCCACTCCTGCTGCTGCTGTCTCTGCTGCTGGTGGAAGCAGCACAGGGGCGTATTTCGAGTCCCCACCGTCATCAGACTATGAATCATCCTCCTCCGATGCCTCCCTCTTCCTGCGCACTCGCTCCCACACCCGCTCCCACACTCTCTCCTACACTCTCTCTCACACTCGCTCCCATAATCGCCCCCCCTCACTAGCCCAGACCCACCCTCCCTTTCCCTCCCATACTCGTACTCAGACCCACACCCACGACCACACTCACTCTCACTCCCACTCCCACACTCACTCTCACTCCCACACTCACTCTCACTCCCACACTCACTCTCACTCCCACACTCACAGTCAAGGTCATTCTATTCCCGCACGCCTTTCACCACCCGCTCTAGCTCCGACCGTTTCTTTAAGCCAGCATCTCCCATATTTCGACAGATCAACTGGCATGGACCAGCAACCTCCCAGTCAACCCAGTCAACCCAGTCAAGCCAGTCAATCCGGGTCAACTGGAGTAAGGCGGCCTATAGGGGGCCGTCATGCCCGTTCATTTTCAGGCACAATCACTTACAGCCCTCGCTACAGCCCTGTATCACACCTGTCCCCACCATCGCACCCCCCTGCCGCCGCTGCTCCTCCTGCTCCTCCTGCCGCCCCTGCTGCTGCTGCCCCCATTCCATCCGGATCCACAGGGGTAAGAAGACCTATAGGGGGCCGGCATGCACGCTCGTTCTCAGGCACTGTTGCTTACAGCCCTCGCTACAGCCCTACAGCGCACCTGTCCCCACCAACTCCTCCCCCTGTTGCTGCTGCTGGTATAGACCAACAGGCCCCCAGTCTCCCCAGGTTATCTGCTACAGACTATTATCCCCCAAGTCAACCCAGTCAACCCAGTCAACCCAGTCAAGCCAGTCAGGCCAGTCAAGCCAGTCAAGCCAGTCAAGCCAGTCAAGCCAGTCAAGCCAGTCAAGCCAGTCAAGCAAGTCAACTTGGGTCAACAGGAGCAAAACGGCCTGTAAGGAGCCGGCATGCTCGCTCTCTCTCCGGCTCTGTTGCTTACAGCTACAGCCCTCACTCAAGCAGCTTCCCAGGGCTTTCTGGCTCTGGTTGTGCTTTTGAGTCGACTCAAAGGCTGTCTGGCTCTGGGTGTTCTCCACATTTCTCCCGCTCACGCACGCATGGGTTTCCGAGTAAGCCCCCCATGTCACCCAGCGCTTCACGGGGTACTTTGGGTGGTAACCCTTGGGTAGTGGCTAGGGCAGTGGCAGCAGCAGCAGCAGGAGCAGGAGCAGCAGCAGCAGGAGTAGGAAGAGCAGGAGCAGGAGCAGGACCAGGAGCAGGAGCAGGAGCAGGAGCAGGAGCAGGAGCAGGAGCAGGAGCAGGAGCAGGAGCAGGAGCAGGGGCAGGAGCAGGAGGAGCAGCAGGATTAGCAAAGCCGATGCTACCTCCAGGCACAGCTTTAGCCACAGGAGGAGCAGCAGTACGTGCAGGGGAAGGAGTAGGAGAGAAAGGAGGAGTGGGAAGCGGTGCAAAAGGAGCAGGAATGGGTTCTGGGAGGTGCAGGCAGCCTGGGCGTTTAATGGCTGCTAGGCGGCTGTCTTTGGATTTGAACAACGAAGGGGTGTTTGGGAGAATCGGTTGGGAGGAGTGGACAGGGAAACACGTTGTGGTGGGTAGGCCAGGGGAAGGAGGGGAAGGAAATGTGACTAAATCGAGGGAGGGAGGGGATGCCGGTGTGACTAAAGCGAGGGAGGGAGAGGGGAGGGGAGTATCATTTGAATTGGAGGGTCTGAAGAGGGAGGTGACTGTAACGAATGGTGGGGATAGTGTTGTGGGAGAGAGAGGAGGGGGGGGAGGAGGAGGAGGGGGAGGAGGAGGGGGTGAGGGAGCCATAAGTTATGACCGAAGCTTCCAGGCAGCTTCTTCTTTCCCTGAGGAACCTATACAATGCTGCCAGACAGATTCTCTTCCTGAGGCTTCTCAGCGAAGCTTCCAGGCAGCTTCGCCTTGTGATTCACTGGGAAATGCAGCTCCAAGCATCCTTGCCAGCAGCAAGAGTGGCAGTAAGACTGGTAGCAGATCTGGCAGTAGCAGCAGTTTTGAGACGTCTAAAATAAACTACACTTCTATCACTTCGCAACTGGGAAATGCAGCTCCAAGTGTCCTTGCCAGCAGCAAGAGTGGCAGTAAGATTGGTAGCCGATCTGGCACTAGCAGCAGGCCCCTACGTCCCCCTGTGAGGCATGCCTCGTTGAATCTGAAACACGCGGTGGATGAGTGGAGGGCGGGGCAGGAGGGGGCGGATGGGAGGGAGGGGAGGGAATGGAGAGAAGGCAGGGAAGGGAGGGAAGGGAGAGACGGGAGGGAAGGGAGGGAAGGGAGAGACGGGAGGGAAGGGAAAGAAGGGAGTGGGAGCAAGAACGAAAGCAAGGCTGGGAGTAGCAGTAGCAGCAGGCCCCTACGTCCCCCTGTGAGGCATGCCTCGTTGAATCTGAGAGATGCTGTGGATGAGTGGAGGGAGGGGCAGGAGGGGAAGAGTGGGAGGGAAGGGAGAGACGGTAAGGAAGGGAGTGGCAGCAAGGCAGACTGCAAGAGTGGGAGCAAGAGTGAAAGCAAGGCTGGTAGCAGCAGTGGTAGTAGCAGGCCCTTACGTCCCCCTGTGAGGCATGCGTCATTGAATCTGAGACGTGCAGTGGATGAGTGGAGGGAGGGGCAGGAGGGGACGGATGGGAGGGACGGGAGAGAAGGTTGGGAAGGGAGGGATGGAAAGGGCGGGAGAGACGGAAGGGAAGGGTGGCCTGAACCTGAACGGTTGAGTGGTGGAAGGGAAAGGATGACAGGAAGTAAAACTCTTTCTACCAAGGCCTTACTCCCTCCTGTAAGCCTTGTCAGGCATGCATCGTTTGACATGCGACGAGTGGTGGACGAGTGGAGGGAGGGGCAGGAGGGGCAGGAGGGGCAGGAGGGGCGGGAGGGGCAGGAGGGGAGGGAAGGGAGGGAAGGGAGAGAGGGGAGGCAGGAGAGGGAAAGGCAGCATAAGAGGATGACTGCACGTGAAACGGGCCCTGCCCAGTCCTTGCGTTCCCCTGTGAGGCACGCTTCTCTGGACATGCGTGGAATGATGGACGAGTGGAGGGCGGGGCAGGAGGTGAGGGAGGGGAGGGATGGAAGGGAGAGGGAGGGGAGGGTGGGGCATGAGGGGAGGGAGGAGGACGGGCAGGACAGAAAAAATGAGCTGGTTACAAAGAGGCTGGAAGGGCAAGGTAGCCGGTCTTTTCTTGAGTTTCTGAAGCCGCAGGGGTGGGACTTGGAGCCTTCTGATTCTGAGCTTTCAGGGCCGGAAGCACCTGGATTAACCCCTGGCGGTGGTGGTGGTGGTGGTGGTGCTGCTGCTGCTGCTGGGGCTGCCGCTGCCGCCCGGACTGGCGTTGACTCGTTTGACTTTCTTGGGAAGCCGGTTGTGAAGTCGAGAATAGCGCAGCTCAAGGAGACGAAGAAGAAGAAGGAAGTTGGGTTTGAGACTCCTCACAAGGAGAAGAAGAAGGGTTTTGAGGTTGCGTCTGAGAGATTTCTGAAGGAGAGCAAGGGGCGGTTAGGAAGGCAGAGGTCGTTGGATTCGAGAGCAAAGGGACCGCTGGGAAAGGGAGGGTCGTGGGAGTTGGGAGGATGGGACTGTGGGGAAGCACACGGGAAGGGGAATCTGCGATCTCCACAGAGTGTCGGACGTGAGAAGATCCGGATCTGTCTCGAGCAGGGTTTCGCAGGTGTACAGGCTTCTGGTTCTGGTGTTGAGCGTTTAGAGACGTCTGAGCACCAGTTTTGTCTTGAGCAGGGTGTGGGTGTGGAAGCAGATGGTATGTTGGAGAGAAAAGGGTCTTTCGATGCGAGAGGGCCATTTGATGGGAGGAAAGGGATGAATGGGGAGGACGGGGTTTGCTTGGAGGAGGATGAGGTGCTTTTTGGGAGGTCTGGGCTATCAGGTGCTTGGGGAAGGGGGTTGGGGGAGGAAGGGCGTGAGTTGAGAAGTGAGCTCTGTTTTGAGAGTTTTGAGCAGTCAAGTATGCCGAGGAGGGAGAGTGTGGGTGGGGAAGGGTTGGGTGGGATGAGTCTCGTGGTTGGGAGGAGAGAGGAGAGGCTAGGGAGGTGGGGGTCACTGGATGTGGGAAGGGGGGTGGGAGGACAAAGGCTTGACTTGGGGGGTGGGCTGCTATGTGGAGCAGTGAGGGAAATTACTCCAGTGAGGAAGGTTGTGGATGGGGAAGGGCCAGGATTAAGAAACGAGCTACTTTGGAGGAGAGAGGAGAGGCTAGGGAGGTGGGGTTCCTTAGGTGCTGGTAAGAGCAGCAGTGTCAGAAGGACACAAGTGCCTAAGAGTCCCTTAAGAAGCCCTCCTCCTCCAACTACTATGCCTCTTAGTAACCGCTTTGTTAAGAGCTCGTCTTTAACAAGCGTGTCTTTCACAACCCCTTACTTAAACCATCCCACTGCTAGCACCATTCCCAGAAGCCCCTCTGCTAAAGGCAGCTATCCTAAAATTTATTCTGTTAAGAGCCCGCACTTAAAAAGCCCTGCTGTTCGCAGCCCGCACTTAAAATCTCCTAGTGTTACAAGCCCTCTTCCGACGAGCCCTCTTTCTAAGAGCCCTTCTGTTAGAAGCCCTTGTGCCACGAGCCCCTTGCGTAGATCAATGCTGATGAATCCAGACCCCTGTGCACCTGCACCTGCTTCTGCTGCCCCTGCGTCTTTTTATCCCAGGAGCCTTCAGGTAAGGACTGCAGATGCGAGCGCAGCTGCTATGGCAGCACCCAGCCCCCTTGACTTCCTCGGGAAACCACCCGAGGGGCCGAGAGCAGGAAGGCTGGGTGCAAGGCAAGCGTCTTTTGATCCCAGGAGCCTTCAGGTAGGGGCTGCAGCCGCAGCTGCGAATGCAACTGCTACTGCAACTGCAAATGCGGCTGCGAATGCAACTGCTACTGCACCTGCTAATGCAATTGCTAATGCACCTGCTAATGCACCTGCAAATGCACCTGCTAATGCACCTGCTAATGCACCTGCAAATGCACCTGCTAATGCACCTGCTAATGCACCTGCTAATGCACCTGCAAATGCACCTGCTAATGCACCTGCTAATGCACCTGCTAATGCACCTGCAAATGCACCTGCTAATGCACCTGCTAATGCACCTGCTAATGCACCTGCAAATGCACCTGCTAATGCACCTGCTAATGCACCTGCAAATGCACCTGCTAATGCAGTTGTTTTGTCAGCGGCCAGTCCTCTTGAGTTTCTTGGGAAACCACCTGAAGGGCCGAACACTGGAAAGCGGCTGGGCGCAAGGCAAGCATCTTTGGATCCTAGGATTTTGCAGGTGGGGAAGCAGAGGGTGGTGACGATGAGAGGAGGGGAGAGGGGGAGTGGAGAAGTGAGAGGGAGAGGTGGGGTGGAGAGGGGACGAGGAGGCGAGGAGAGAGGGAGAGGTGGAGAAGAGAGAGGAAGAGGAGGCGAGGTGATGGGTAGAGGAGGTGAGGAGAGGGGAGGAGGAGGCGAAGGGTTTGGTTTTCTGGTGCAGGAGGGCCGGCAGCAGCAGCAGCAGCAGCAACAGCAACAGCAGCAACAGCAGCTGCAGCAACAGCAGCTGCAACAGCAACATCAGCAACAGCAACAGGTGAAGGGCAGGCAGCAGGACAAGGAGCAGAAGTTGCAGCAATTAGGGCGACATCGATCCCTTGATCCATGGGCCTTCAGCCGGGCCTTAGAGGATATCAGAGAGGCTCTAAACGAGGACAGCCAGGAGGTTACAAACGAGGGTATTAGGGAGGCTACTAACGAGGATATCAGGCATGGTGCTGAAGCTGTAAGGAAGGAGGAAGCATGGAGGAAAAGTATTTTTCAACTTCCTTCAGATAGTGATTTCTCAGGGCCCAACTCTCCTCTTCCCGCCGCCGCTACTGGCGCTGCTGCTTGTGCTGCTGCTGGTGCTGCTGCTGCTGGGGATGGGGCTGGTGCGAAGGCTGCTGCTAGCATTGCTGCCCCTGCCGCCCAGACTTGCGTTGACTCGTTTGACTTTCTTGGAAAGCCGGAGGTGAAATCGAGAGTAGCACAGCTGAAGGAGAAGAAGAAGAAGGAAGTTGGGTTTGAGACTCCTCCTCAAAAGGAGGAGAAGGGGCGGACTGTTGTTCCCCTTCACAAGCAAAGGTCCCTCGACGCTCGAAGCTGGGGGGCTTTGAATTTGGGCTCTGGTGCTGCTGCTGGTGCAGCCGCTGCTGCTGCTGTTGCTAAGTCTGGCGTTGACTCGTTTGACTTTCGTGGGAAGCCGGAGGTGAAATCGAGAGTAGCACAACTGAAGGAGAAGAAGAAGAAGGAGGTTGGGTTTGAAATTCCTCAGAAGGAGGAGAAGAAGGGGCGGGGCCAGATGCATGCCCGCGCTCCCCTTCACAAGCAACGGTCGCTCGACTCTCGAACCAAGGGAGGGGCGGCTCTGCTTGCTGCTCTTGCTGCTGATGCTGAGAAGAATCCCGTTGACTCGTTTGACCTTCTTAGTACCCCCCCACTGCTGCAGCCGCAAGCATTACTTGGCCCCTCATGGGGAACAGGGCAGCTGGGAAGGAGAGGGTCTGGGACGCTGCGTGCCACTAGGAAGACTGGCGTTGACTCGTTTGACTCTGCTGAAGAAGTTCCTCCATTGCTGCAACCAGGAACAGCATTGGGCGCATGGGGAACAGGGCAGCCGGGAAGGAGAGGGTCTGGGACGCTGCGTGCTGCTGCTAGGAAGACTGGCGTTGACTCGTTTGACTTTCTTGACAAGCCTGTTGTGCAGCAGTCAAGGATAGTCAAGGAGGAGATATTCGGGCTGGCGATGCAGCGGCATGCATCCCTGGATTCAAGGAGGGGGTTCCTAGATTTTAGGGAGGATTTGCTGGATTCAGGGGAAGAATCCCTGGATTTCAGGGAAGGTTTGCTGGATGTAAGGAAATACTCTCCTCTTGATTTCAGCAGGGAATTTCGGGATGCGAGAAACGTTTTGCTGGATACGAGGGAAGAATTCTTGGATTTCAGGAGTGAATTTCTGGATATTAGGAGGGAGGGGAAGGTTGGTAGGTTGAGGAGGAGGGGTTCGCTTGAAAGTGTGGGAGGTTTTAAGCAAGATGGTTACTTCAACATTGCTGGTGGGGAGAAGTGGGGGGATATCAGCTGGGGACGAACAGGAGGGGGGCGGAGCTTGGGGAATCGACGGCAGCGCTCGCCGCTGGGGAGGAGGAGGTCTATGGGGGGAGGAGGGCTGGACGCTGCTTCTTTTAAGGCGAACAATGCTGGTAGGGAGTCTCAAGGCGAGGATAAGGAGTGGGGAAGAGAGGGAGGAGGGCGGAGTCTGGGGAATCGACGGCAGCGCTCGCCACTTGGGAGGAGGTCGTTGGGGGGAGGAGGGCTGGACTCTGCTTCTTTGGGGTTTGGGGTGAACAACGGGAACAATGGGGTTGGAATGGGTGGGAAGGAGTTGGGAAGAGTGGGAGAGAGGCGGCATTCGAGCACTCGAGAGAGTTCGATTCTAGCAAGGAGTAGGTCGATGGGTGGAGCAGGGTTAGACGCTGCTTCTTTGGGGGTGAGCAGAGAGGGCATTGAAGCTCGAAGCAGTGGGAAGGAAGAGCAGGGAGGAGTGGGAGGGGGGCGGCGTGGGGGCACTAGAGCGCGTTCGCCACTGGGGAGGAGGAGATCGGTGGGGGGGGGGAGGGCTGGACGCTGCTTCGTTGGGGTTAGGGGGAAACAATGGGGACAGTGATGCTGGAAAGGAGGGGAGGGAGTGGGGAGGAGTGGGAGGGAGGCGGCATGAGGGCACTAGAGGGCGTTCGCCGCTGGGGAGGAGGAGGTCGGTAGGGGGAGTGGGGGAGGTGGTTGTTTATTTATCGCCTGTGAGTGGGTGGGCTGATGAGGGTACAGGAACAGGCGAGAGGCAGGGTGGTTCAAGAACAGGTGAGAGGCACGGTGGTTTAAGAAACAAGTCTCCTCTGCAGAGAAGGAGATCAATGGGGGGATTACGAGGGATGGGGATGGTGGTCGATCTTCTATCCGTTCCAAATGAAGAGGCTGATGAGGGTTTACGAATGGGTGAAAGGCAGGATGGTTCACGAAGCAAGTCTCCTCTGCAGAGAAGGAGGTCGATGGGGGGATTAGGGGGGATGGCTGACCGTTTATCGGCACTGTTTCAAGCAGCTGATGAGGGTACAGGATCGGGTGAGAGGCTCGGTGGTTTGAGAAGAGACGCTCTGTTAGAAAGAAGGAGGTCGATGGGGGGAGTGGGGGGTGAGGGAACAGGAACGGGCAAGAGGCAGGGCCGTCCGAGAAGGAAGTCTCCTCTGGGGAGGAGGAAATCGATTGGGGGAATGGGGGGGATGGTTGACGCTTATTTATCCTCTTCAAATGAGGAGTCTGAGGGTTCAAGAATGGGTGAGTGGAAGGGTGTTTCGAGAGGAAAGACGTTGCTAGAAAGAAGCAGGTCGATGGGGGGAGTGGGGGCGGCGGTAGACTATTCATCGGCTGTGAGTGGGTGGGCAGATGAGGGTATAGCAGGAACGCGAGAGAAGCAGAGTGGTTTGAGAAGGAAGTCTCCTCTGGGGAGGAGGAGGTCGATCGGGGGAATGGGGGGGATGGCTGACCGTTTAGCGGCTCTAAATCGAGCGGGTGAGGAGGGTATAGGAAAGAGCGAAAGGCAGGGGAGTTCGAGAAGAAAGTCTCCTCTGGGAAGGAGGAGGTCTATGGGGGGAGTGGGGGAGGTGGTTGATAATGTATTGGCTGTGAGTGGGTGGGCTGATGAGGGTACAGGAAAGAGCGAAAGGCAGGGCGGTTCGAGAAGAAAGTCTCCTCTGGGGAGGAGGAGGTCTATGGGGGGAGTGGGGGGGATGGTTGATGATTTATCGGCTAAGGCTGATGAGGGTACAGGAACGAGCGAGAGGCAGGGGAGTTCGAGAAGAAAGTCTCCTCTAGGGAGGAGGAGATCGATGGGGGGGATGGGGGGGGCGGAAATGGCTTACCATTTACCAGCTTTGGGGGGAGCGGGCATTGAGGTTGAGGGTACAGGAACGGGCGAGAGGCAGGGGAGTTCGAGAAGAAAGTCTCCTCTGGGAAGGAGGAGATCGATGGGGGGAAGAGTTGGTGCTGCTTTCGTTTCAGCCGCAGAAGCAGAAGCAAAAGCAGAAGCAGAATCAAGAGCAGCAGGAGCAGGTAACATGCACGAGGAGGGGAGGGGGATGGATGGGAGGAGGAAGTCCCCTCGTTCCCCCTTCAACTCCCTTTCTCTCGGGCTCTCTACTCTCACCCTTTCCCCAGGGCTAAGGTCTATGGATTCCCCAGTGTGGGGCGCGGTCAGGGGGGGTAGCAGCAGAGACGCTTTTAGCGAGGACATGAGAGGGGCTTATAACGAGACTCCTGAGGAGGTTGAGAGAGCGGCTTATAACGATCCTCCTAGGGAGGCTACAGGAGGGGCTTATAACGAGGCGCTTGGGGAGGCAAAGAAAGAGTCTTATAAAATAAGAGTGCACCGTTCAAGTCCGTCCACTCTAGACACGTCCCGCGGATCTGATTCTGTAGATTCCTCTGTTTGGGACAAGTCTTTTGAGTCAACTCGAAAACCGTCTCATCACATGTCAACCCTACTAGACTCGTCTCGTGAATCTGATTCTGTGGATTCCCCTGTTTGGGGAGCTTCTAGTGGTAGAGGGGTTGCTGTGGATTTGCACGAGTCAGAATCGGCCGATTCGCCTGTGTGGGGGACGGTGAGTGGCGGCAGTAGAGGGGAAGTGAGAGAAGGAAGCAGAGGCAGGTTTACCTTGAATATTCTTAGAAGTAATGCAGATGTTGCTGCGGGAAGCAGGGGACCGCATTGGCCTGTTGTGGATTTGCAGGAGTCAGAATCGGCCGACTCGCCTGTGTGGAGGACAGTAAGTGGTGGCAGGCGAGGGGGAATGGAAGATGGAGGAAGGACAGGTGGGTTCACAGCAGCTGTGGCAACGGGAGGCAGGGGACCACAAAGGCAGAGTTTTGAGGCGCCTCAGAACTCGTTTCCAGAAGATGTTGTGGTTGGAGGCAGCAGGGAACTGCGAAGGCCTGTTTTGGATTCGTTAGAGTCAGAAACAGCCGACTCGCCTGTGTGGGGGACAGTGAGTGGTGGCAGGCGAGGGGTGAGGCGAGGAGGAGGAGGAAGCGGAGGTGGGTTTACAGCAGCTCTAGGGGTGGGCAGGAGGGGACCACGTGAGCTGGTTTTGGATTTGCTTGAGTCAGAATCGGTCGATTCGCCTGTGTGGGGGACGGTGAGCGGTGGCAGGAGAGGGGGAGGGATGGGTGAGAGGGGAGATGGTTTTACAGAAGATGAAGCAGTGGGAGACAGGAGAGTTAGAGGAGTAATGTCTGATGCTGCGGCACCTGAGATATCACCTGATACAGCACCTGATGCAGCACCTGATGCAACAGGTGATTCAGCTCCTGATACAGCACCTGACGAAAAACCTGATGCGACACCTGATTCAGCACCTGATGCAAGTGGGGGGGGTGTGGGGGGGGAGACAGTGGGGGGGGGAGGAAGGTGCCGGCATGATGGGAGGGAGAAGGGAGGAGAGGAGGGAGGAGAGGAGGGAGGAGAGGAGGGAGGAGAGGAGAGAGGAGAGGAGGGAGGAGCGGAGGGAGGAGGGGAGGGCGTTGAAGTATGGAGGAAAGATGCAGAGAAACTGAGTGAGAACGCGATTGAGGAAGTGAGGGAGCGAGTGAGCGAGCGAGGGGGTGAGGAAGTGTGTAGGGAAGTGAGTGAGGGAGTGAGTGCAAAGGAGGGTGAGGAGGCGGCCACAAGCTTGAGGGTGAGTGAGAAATCAGCCTGGGGGCATGGAGGGAGGAGGGAGGAAAACTCCTCCTTGCTCTCTCCTTCGTTGCAAGGAGAAACTGGGGAGGGCGAGACTGTTTTCGGGCATGCCAGAGCTCAAGAGAATACAGCCAAGGAGACGGTTGAGATGAACATTCAAGCGACACCTAAGGAGATGGAGGAAATGGGTGAAATGATTGAAATGATGGAGATTGCTGCTGCTGCAGCCAGAGAGTTGCGATTACCTGCTTCCGCTGCTGGTGCAACTCGGACTGTGTCCGCTGCTACAGCCGCTGCTACAGCCGCTGCTACAGCCGCTGCTAGAACCGCTACTAGCCACCGTTCTCCCCGCCATCCTCCTCTCCCCCCTCCTCACCAGCACGCTGTTTCCTCCGATCCTTCAAACAACTTCTCCTCCCATCCTCCTCCTTCTCCCCCGCCGCGCTCCTTCCCCCCTTTGTCCCCCACCTCCCATCCCTCTCCTCCATCCCATCCCCCTCCTCCCTCCAACCCCTCCCCTCCCTCCCATCCCCGTTCTCTCTTCCGCACTCTATCCACCTCTCTCCTCCCTTTCAGACCCCCTTCCCTTCTCCGAACCCTCTCCTCCTCCTTCTCCTCCTCCCCTTCCTCCTCCTCCGAACCTGTCCTTCAAAACTCTCGCTCTACCCCTTTCCCCGGTCCTGCGATTCGCCCTCTCTCCTCGCCCTCTCCTGTGCCCTCTGCCCCTCCTCCATTGCCCTCCGAGGCCCCTGCAGTTCCGTCTTCCTCTGGAAGAGGGAACAGCAACAGCAACAGCAGAGTCACCAACAGCAGCAGCACCACCGGCAACACCAGCGGCACCAGCACCAGCAACAGCAGCAGCAAAAGCATTGACAGCAGCAGCAGCGGCAGACGGAGAGCTAGAACACGGAGCAACACCAACACTGCTAGCAGCACCACCTCTTCCATCACCACTTCTGCTAACCCCTCCTCTTCCAACAATACCACCACCACCTCCTTTACCAATACCACCACCAGCAACCGACTTCGTCGAACCTTCTCCTCCTTTTCCTTCCTTACTCAACACCCATCTCCCCTTCCTCCTCTTCTACCCGTTCCATTCCCTTCATTCCCATCTGTCACAACACCGTCTGCCACTCCTTCGGAAGTCACAACAGTTTTTGCTCCCAGTACTATTGAAAATGCCATTCCCACTGGCACAACTCCTGTAAATAACAGCGTGACTGGGACTGCTGATGGTGCTACAGCTGCTGCAGCTGCTGCCACAGCCGCCCCAGTTGCTACAGCTGCTGCAACATCTAGTGATACAACTGCTGCTGCGGCTACAGCCGGCGCCAGTCCCTTGTATCGTAGCTTCTCCCTCTCTGCTTCTTTTGCAACCCTCCGCCGCACCACCTCCAACTCCTCTTTATCGCTCTTCACCTCTCACCTTCCTTCCTCCACTGCTATCTCCTCCTCGTCCTCCTCCTCGTCCTCCTCCTCCTCCTCCTCCTCCTCCTCCTCCTCCTCCTCCTCCTCCTCCTCCTCCTCCTCCTCCTCCTCCTCCTCCTCCTCCTCCTCCTCCTCCTCCTCCTCCTCCTCCTCCTCGTCCTCGTCCTCCTCCTCGTCCTCCTCCTCCTCCTCCTCCTCCTCCTCCTCCTCCTCCTCCTCCTCCTCCTCCTCCTCCTCCTCCTCCTCCTCCTCCTCCTCCTCCTCCTCCTCCTCCTCCTCCTCCTCCTCCTCCTCGTCCTCCTCCTCGTCCTCCTCCTCCTCCTCCTCCTCCTCCTCCTCCTCCTCCTCCTCCTCCTCCTCCTCCTCCTCCTCCTCCTCCTCCTCCTCCTCCTCCTCCTCCTCCTCCTCCTCCTCCTCCTCCTCTTCCTCCTTACTTCTCCATTCCCGGTCTATCCGACGGCAATCAGAGAGTTATAAGGAGCGTGCCGCCGTGTCCACACACCAACCTGGTCTCTACCCATCCTCCCTGATACCATCCACATCGCGGCGTGCATCTATTGATACGCCCGAGCTGGGTGCATCCCTCTTAAGATTGCCGAGTCTTTCCTCCTTGCTCCGCCAATGGAAAGAAGGCAAAGAGGGAACTGTTTTGAGCAGTGATAAGGAAGGTGATCCACCCTCAAGTTTTTATAAGGACAAAGGCATCCCAAGAGGCAACCCCCGCTGCGATGGCTGACACTGAGTCAAGCTAGAGTTGAAATATTTCTGTAAAATTATGTGTTGGTTTAAAAGGTATTTGACGAGATTTTTTTCGAAACTCCATTGCCAGATTGTGCCTAGTTGTACCTAGCAAGCTTCTGGCAATAAGTATGTATCCTCCTATATACAATCATAAATGATTGGGATTTCCTGTTAGGTGTACTCTGCTGAAGATATTGTTCTCACGTTGTGCAAGTCCCATAACAATATACGGTACCACTACTTCGGCAAAGGTTCCACGACCTAGGTCGTGGAACCTTTGCAACGGATTGAAAATACCGCTTGCAAAGTTGCGGAATCGGCAAAAAACAAACCCCCAACCGAACCCAATCCATGTGGTGGACTTCGGTTGGGCAAGTTTGGGTTGGGTTTCTCGGTTGGGCTTTTGCCGAAACTGCAACTTTGCTACCAGTATCCGCAACTGGCTGCACAGGTTCCATGCCCTCACTCTATGTCTTCCGTATGAGGCAATTGGGAAAGAACACCTCAGCGGACTAAAAACGCCGCCCATTTTCGCGGTTGCGATAGGACAAGGGCCCCCCTCGGGATTGTCGAACCCCCGACGACCTCCGAGTGGCAAATTGGGGCGAACGGGGTGTGCTCAGGGCCCGGGAGGCCCTCTGGAATGCCGACGGGCTGACGACCTAGGTTTCCGCTGGGAGAAACCCGAGAAGTATATCACAGCGGACCACGTGTTCCCAGCTCGACACGTCGAGCCGTGATTATCGCCACGCGGCCAAATAGGGACGACCAAGATCTTACCCGAGATCGCAAGAGCATCTTGGGCTGCCACGACGCCCACGATGTGGCCACGCGTCGCTCCACGGGTCTAACTGCTTTGCGCGGGAACACAACGCGCCGACCAAAATTGTCGGCGCGATCCACGCGGCGAACATCGACCCGTTAGTGCACTCACAGGTGTCAGGCATCCACGGTCGCCAGGGTTCACGGGAAAAAGATCCCGCGCATCTCGCAATGTCGGTGTCGCCCACGCAACCGACGGTGGTTAAGCGAGCCACGCGGCTCACTCCGAACGTGCCTCAACACTGTCTAGGTGAGGCCAATCTACCGCGCCAAAGGGAATGTCGACGCCGATCAAGAGGGGATTCTGGAGGGCTCGACACGCGGCTCTGCATTACGCCCGGGCCCTTATGCGCTGGAAGTCGGCATCCCGGCATTTATGGAGCGACGCACTAATGTTGGGACCAAGCCACGTAGCAGACGCCCATGCCACGGTGGAAAGGCCCAGGCTTACGCTTAATGAGTGCAGCGCGGCGTGACAATAGCCATGCATGGCACGTGGCACGTCGGGCACTGCGCCGCCGCACGAGGGCACATGCAGAGCGGCACTTGCAAAGGGGGTTGCGTGAAGCGCGGCAGATGCGGAGTCGCTCACGACCATACCCCTCCGCGTCCATGCCCATGTGCTCATTCTGCCATTCTGTCTGCGTTCCGTCCCTCGTATCGCATGCGCTCTCCGGTACTTAGAATTTTCCCCTCCCATACTATCTTCACGCGTGTAGGTTACTCGGACGCCGACCAGACGATCTCGTCGGCACAGTTAGCGTCGACCTGGCTGAGACGTAGTAGGTCCGTGTGTAGGACACTGACCTGTAAAAAACCGACGACTTCGACTTAGAAGGGACGAAGTCGGCACTCTTTAAAGTCGGTATAGTAACAACATATCGACCGACAAACCAAGCCGATTTCCATTTTGTCAGGACGACAGAACCTTACTAAGTCAGCGTCGCATGGCCAGAAGACAGCCTAGTGCGCCACAGCTGCAATCCATCCCACCCCCTGCCGACACTGTAGACGCCGACATCAAAGCGCAACTGGAACGTGCAGAGATCGCCGCCGAGTTAGAAGCTCTCGAGAGGGAATTCGAGCTTGACTCCCGCGCAACTCATCGGGCGTACACCGCCAACGTGACTCAGTTTCGTCGCTGGTGGTCGGTCACGAACCTCCCACAGGGATCACGGTAGAGCAATCAACGTAAGCCACATGGCCGACGTCGATATGACGGACCCGGGTGAGGAGGGCCGACATGTAGACCAAACAGATGCGACCGACCACAGGCCGAACACTGACCCCTAAGCGACGCTGAAGTTGCTATACGATCTCGACGCACTGGCACATATTCCAGAAGGAGATTATACCAAAGACATTCCGCCACCGCCGATAGGGGAGTTTACAAAGCCACGTCCTACGTCGGCTCCGACGCAAGATGGACAGCCTGGACCTTCGTCGGCGCCGGGCGGAGCGGGAAACCAGGGTGAGGAAAACGAGGAGGAGTATTGGTCGAGCGACGGAGACGACGTGCGGCCTCCGCGTAGCATGAATTGGCACACCTTAGAAGAACGAATCCGAGGGGAACATGAATACATAGAGGGCCTGTTGGATCAGGACGAGGAAGAGGACGAGCTCAACGCCTGGGCCTCCATCTCCGTATTCTCATCCGTGTCTCCCGCCTTCCTCGCCGCGCTCGCTGCGACCTTCCCAAACGCCGCGCACATGGACACGCGATGTACCATGGCCGACATCAAATCAACCGACTTCGCCTCGCCTTCCTCCGTGTAGTCTTCGATGGGGAACCAGATCGGCGGCAAGAGCGCGTCGTGAAGCGCATCACCTGAACCCGAGTACACTCGGTACTTGCCGAGTATATCATCGAACCTGTCACGCAAACACATCAAAACGGGCAAGCGTTAGTATCACCGACTTAGTCAACAGCACTCGGCAGATGGGTAGCCGTCTTACCGTGTTTTCGGAAGGTATACGCCTCGGGCCCATATCAGCGTCCACATCCCAGTCGGCAAGATCCTGACCTCCTCCCACACCTTCTTCCATTCGTCCAACTCGGTTTCCTTCAAGACGGTGAGCTCGTCCATGAGGACGGGGCTGACGTAACCGTCGTAGACGATGTACGCAATCGAGTGGAGGTACGCCAGCTCCATCTTCTCGCGCGACTTGCCGATGTATCGCGACTCGCCGACCAGCTTGATCTCGCCCACCCACCCTTTCCCGTCACCCGACTTGTCGTGGAGAATGCCATGACCCTTCCGTGGTATAACCTTCTCTTTCTCCTCTCCCTTCTCCTTCCCTGTCTTCGCCGACTTCCCCTTGCCGACCGACTTCTCCTCCTGTTTCTCCTCCGCCTTCTCCTTCCATTTCTCGTCCGAATTCTCCACCTGTTTCTCCTCCGCCTTCTCCTTCCCTTTCTCGCCCAACATCTCCTTCGTCGCCGACTTCGCCCGCGTTTTCCTCTGAGATCTCGCCTTCCCAGACAAGCGCAGCCACGTGACCCGGTGGAAGAAAAACGCTCGGAACGAGCGCTTCCAGCCCCAAAACGCGGAAGGATCCGCACATGTACAGGAAGTGCAGCAGGCGCTCTTCATTCGCAAGCGCCGATGACCGATGATGCTCGCAACCCTCCCACGCCCTTGCTGGTTTGGTAATAGGCCCAGACAAGCGCAGCCACGTGGCCCGGCGGAAGAAAAACGGTCGGAACGAGCGCTTCCAGCCCCAAAACGCGGAAGGATCCGCACATGTGCAGGAAGTGCAGCGGACGCTCTTCATTCGCGAGCGCCGATGACCGATGATACTCGCAACCCTCCCACGCCCTTGCTGGCTTGGTAGTAGGCCCCGCGTGGCCTGGCGGAAGAAAAAACGCTCGGAACGAGCGCTTTCAGCCCCAAAACGCGGAAGGATCCGCACATGTGTAGGAAGTGCAGCGGGCGCTCTTCATTCGCGAGCGCCGATGACCGATGATGCTCGCAACCCTCCCACGCCCTTGCTGGCTTGCTAATAGGCCCAGACAAGCACAGCAACGTGGCCCAGCGGAAGAAAAACGCTCGGAACGAGCGCTTCCAGCCCTAAAACGCGGAAGGATCCGCACATGTGCAGGAAATGCAGCGGGCGCTCTTCGTTCGCGAGCGCCGATGACCAATGATGCTCGCAACCCTCCCACGCCCTTGCTGGCCTGGTAATAGGTCCACACAAGCGCAGCCACTGCTCGCAACCCTCCCACGCCCTCGCTGGTTTGGTAATAGGCCCAGAGAAGCGCAGCCACGTGACCCGGCGGAAGAAAAACGCTCGGACCGAGCGCTTCCAGCCCCAAAACGCAGAAGGATCCGCACATGTGCAGGAAGTGCAGCGGGCGCTCTTCATTCGGGAGCGCCGATGACCGATGATGCTCGCAACCCTCCCACGCCCTCGCTACTTTGGTAATAGGCCTAGAAAAGCGCATCCACGTGACCCGGCGGAAGAAAAACGACCGGAACGAGCGCTTCCAGCCCCAAAACGCGGAAGGATCCGCACATGTGCAGGAAGTGCAGCGGGCGCTCTTCATTCGCGAGCGCCGATGACCGATGATGCTCGCAACCCTCCCACGCCTTTGCTGGCTTGGTAATAGGCCCAGACAAGCGCAGCAACGTGACCCGGCGGAAAAAAACGCTCGGAACGAGCGCTTCCAGCCCCAAAACGCGGAAGGATCCGCACATGTGCAGGAAGTGCAGTGGGCGCTCTTCATTCGCGAGCGCCGATGACCGATGATGCTCGCAACCCTCCCACGCCCTTGCTGGCTTGGTAAAAGGCCCAGACAAGCGCAGCCACGTGACCCGACGGAAGAAAAACGCTCGGAACGAGCGCTTCCAGCCCCAAAAAAGCTGAAGGATCCGCACATGTGCAGGAAGTGCAGCGGGCGCTCTTCCTTCGCGAGCGCCGATGACCGATGATGCTCGCAACCCTCCCACGCCCTTGCTGGCTTGGTAACTGGCCCAGACAAGCGCAGCCACGTGACCCGGCGGAAGAAAAACGCCCGGAACGAGCGCTTCCAGCCCCAAAACGCGGAAGGATTCGCACATGTGCAGGAAGTGCAGCGGGCGCTCTTCATTCGCGAGCGCCGATGACCGATGATGCTCGCAACCCTCCCACGCCCTTGCTGGCTTGGTAATAGGCCCAGACAAGCGCAACCACGTGACGCGGCGGAAGAAAAACGCTCGGAACAAGCGCTTCCAGCCCCAAAACGCGGAAGGATCCGCACATGTGCAGGAAGTGCAGCCGGCGCTCTTCATTCACGAGCTCCGATCACCGATGATGCTCTCAACCCTCCCACGCCCTTGCTGGCTTGGTAGTAGGCCCAGACAAGCGAAGCCACGTGGCCCGGCGGAAGAAAAACGCTCGGAACGAGCGCTTCCAGCCCCAAAACGCAGAAGGATCCGCACATGTGCAGGAAGTGCAGCGGGCGCTCTTCGTTCGCGAGCGCCGATCACCGATGATGCTCGCAACCCTCCCACGCCCTTGCTGGCTTGGTAGTAGGCCCAGACAAGCGCAACCACGTGGCCCGGCGGAAGAAAAACGCTCGGAACGAGAGCTTCCAGCCCCAAAACGCGGAAGGATTCGCACATGTGTAGGAAGTGCAGCGGGCGTTTTTTGTTCGCGAGCGCCGATCACCGATGATGCTCGCAACCCTCCCACGCCCTTGCTGGCTTGGTAATAGGCCCAGACAAGCGCATCCACGTGGCCCCGCGGAAGAAAAACGCTCGGAACGAGCGCTTCGAACCCCAAAACGCGGAAGGATCCGCACATGTGCAGGAAATGCAGCGGGCGCTCTTCGTTCGCGAGCGCCGATGACCGATGATGCTCGCAACCCTCCCACGCCCTCGCTGGCTTGGTAATAGGCCCACAAAAGCGCAGCCATGTGACCCGGCGGAAGAAAAACGCTTGGAACGAACGTTTCCAACCCCAAAACGCAGAAGGATCCGCACATGTGCAGGAAATGCAGCGGGCGCTCTTCGTTCGCGAGCGCCGATGACCGATGATGCTCGCAACCCTCCCACGCCCTCGCTGGTTTGGTAATAGGCCCAGACAAGCGCAGCCACGTGACCCGGCGAAAGAAATCGCTAGGAACGAGCGCTTCCAGCCCCAAAACGCAGAAGGATCCGCACATGTGCAGGAAGTGCAGCGGGCGCTCTTTGTTCGCGAGCGCCGATGACCGATGATGCTCGCAACCCTCCCACGCCCTCGCTGGCTTGGTAATAGGCCCAGACAAGTGCAGCCACGTGACCCGGCGGAAGAAAAACGCCCGGAACGAGCGCTTCCAGCCCCAAAACACGGAAGGATCCGCACATGTGCAGGAAGTGCAGCGGGCGCTCTTCATTCACGAGCGCCGATGACCGATGATGCTCGAAACCCTCCCACGCCCTTGCTGGCTTGGTAATAGGACCAGACAAGCGCAGCCACGTGACCCGCAAAAGAAAAACACTCGGAACGAGCGCTTCCAGCCCCAAAACGCGGAAGGATCCGCACATGTGCAGGAAGTGCAGCGGGCGCTCTTCATTCGCGAGCGCCGATGACCGATGATGCTCGCAACCCTCCCACGCCCTTGCTGGCTTGGTAATAGGCCCAGACAAGCACAGCCACATGAACCGACGGAAGAAAAACGCTCGGAACGAGCGCTTCCACCCCCAAAACGCGGAAGGATCCGCACATGTGCAGGAAGTGCAGCGGGCGCTCTTCATTCGCGAGCGCCGATGACCGATGATGCTCGCAACCCTCCCACGCCTTTGCTGGCTTGGTATTAGGCCCAGACAAGCGCAGCCACGTGACCCGGCGGAAAAAAACGCTCGGAACGAGCGCTTCCAGCCCCAAAACGCGGAAGGATCCGCACATGTGCAGGAAGTGCAGCGGGCGCTCTTCATTCGCGAGCGCCGATGACCGATCATGCTCGCAACCCTTCCACGCCTTTGCTGGCTTGGTAATCGGCCCAGACAAGCGCAGCCACGTGACCCGGCGGAAGAAAAACGCTCGGAACGAGCGCTTCCAGCCCCAAAACGCGGAAGGATCCGCACATGTGAAGGAAGTCATGCGGGCGCACTTCGTTCGCGAGCGCCGATGACCGATGATGCTCGCAACCCTCCTACGCCCTTGCTGGCTTGGTAATAGGCCCGCACAAGCGCAGCCACGTGACCCGAAGGAAGAAAAATGCTCGGAACAAGCGCTTCCACCCCCAAAACGCGGAAGGATCCGCACATGTGCAGGAAGTGCAGCGGGCGCTCTTCGTTCGCGAGCGGCGATGGCCGATGATGCTCGCAACCCTCCCACGCCCTCGCTGGCTTGGTAGTAGGCCCAGACAAGCGCAGCCACGTGGCCCGGCGGAAGAAAAACGCTCGGAACGAGCGCTTCCAGCCCCAAAACGCGGAAGGATCCGCACATGTGCAGGAAGTGCAGCGGGCGCTCTTCGTTCGCGAGCGCCGATCACCGATGATGCTCGCAACCCTCCCACGCCCTTGCTGGCTTGGTAGTAGGCCCAGACAAGCGCAGCCACGTGGCCCGGCGGAAGAAAAACGCTCGGAACGAGCGCTTCCAGCCCCAAAACGCGGAAGGATCCGCACATGTGCAGGAAGTGCAGCGGGCGCTCTTCGTTCGCGAGCGCCGATCACCGATGATGCTCGCAACCCTCCCACGCCCTTGCTGGCTTGGTAGTAGGCCCAGACAAGCGCAGCCACGTGGCCCGGCGGAAGAAAAACGCTCGGAACGAGCGCTTCCAGCCCCAAAACGCGGAAGGATCCGCACATGTGCAGGAAGTGCAGCGGGCGCTCTTCGTTCGCGAGCGCCGATCACCGATGATGCTCGCAACCCTCCCACGCCCTTGCTGGCTTGGTAGTAGGCCCAGACAAGCGCAGCCACGTGGCCCGGCGGAAGAAAAACGCTCGTAACGAGCGCTTCCACCCCCAAAACGCGGAAGGATCCGCACATGTGCAGGAAGTTCAGCGGGCGCTCTTCGTTCGCGAGCGCCGATCACCGATGATGCTCGCAACCCTCCCACGCCCTTGCTGGCTTGGTAGTAGGCCCAGACAAGCGCAGCCACGTGGCCCGGCGGAAGAAAAACGCTCGGAACGAGCGCTTCCAGCCCCAAAACGCGGAAGGATCCGCACATGTGCAGGAAGTGCAGCGGGCGCTCTTCGTTCGCGAGCGCCGATCACCGATGATGCTCGCAACCCTCCCACGCCCTTGCTGGCTTGGTAGTAGGCCCAGACAAGCGCAGCCACGTGGCCCGGCGGAAGAAAAACGCTCGGAACGAGCGCTTCCAGCCCCAAAACGCGGAAGGATCCGCACATGTGCAGGAAGTGCAGCGGGCGCTCTTCGTTCGCGAGCGGCGATGGCCGATGATGCTCGCAACCCTCCCACGCCCTCGCTGGCTTGGTAATAGGCCCAGACAAGCGCAGCCACGTGACCCGGCGGAAGAAAAACTCCCGGAACGAGCGCTTCCAGCCCCAAAACGCGGAAGGATCCGCACATGTGCAGGAAGTGCAGCGGGCGCTCTTCGTTCGCGAGCGGCGATGGCCGATGATGCTCGCAACCCTCCCACGCCCTCGCTGGCTTGGTAGTAGGCCCA